CAGTATATATATATATATATGTATGTATGTATGTATGTATATATATGTATGTATGTATATCTAAGACTGAATAAATCACAAAAGATTCAGTGATACCATTTAGTTTAGGCCTAACAGTTTCAAAATTTTTTCAAGAAATATGATTTATTGGGTTTTTTTTTCTCTATACAATAATAAACATTGGTGAATATTTAGTAGGCTTACCTTTATAGTACAATGTTAAAAATTTGAGTTCATCAGCCAGTCTTCTTATCCAGATGAACCTGCAACCACTAACTGGTCCTGTTTTATATTGACAGCATGCTTGCCTAGTGTTATTCCTGATTGTAGCCTAGCTTACAAAAATATCACAATGGCTGCCAGTCAATGTATTCATAGTTGATTGTGCTGAACAGCCACGACCATAAATAACCATAAAATGGCCTAAACAATATATTTTCAATGCTGGATTACTCCCCTTTGATGATATGCTAACATGTGAAACAACCGGTAGATTTCCAAGATGGAGGCAGCAAGATTACTGTGTCATCGAGTTCAAGTTCAGTAGTACCTGTATTGTGCGACCGTACTTCCGTATGTAAAAATAGATGGCGCATTTCCCAAAGAATGAGGTCATGCGATGTAATTATATAGTACCGGTAGCTATTGTTTCCTCGATTCAGTTTGTATTTGTATGCGTAATAATATACTATCGATTGACAACATGCATGAGTTCATGCATTGTTGCTTCTGTCAAACACTGTACAGTTATACGTACCTGTCAGTATAAAGCAGTGACATTGTTTACTATTTTCACAGTCTAACCAATTTGTGTCCATGTTTTCAAAGATATGATTCAGAACAGAAGTTAAATGTCAAAAAATTGTTTGTGGCATTGACCTTTCCCAATCTCCCTGTATAGGTTCTTGTCGGAAGGGTTTGGCAATCAATATTCTATTTTTCATGTTCTTTAACCACAATTTTCTCTACACTTCCTGTTCAATTTTTAATAGACACCTTTCTCTGACAATAGCTTATAGGAACTACATACTACTTGAAGCAGAAGTCTTGTGTAAGATATTAGCGTTCAATAACCATTACATTTCCTTTTCAGGTTCAGCTTACTTGACCTAATAGTTTTAAGTTAATTGTATGACTATACCTTTTTGATACAGCCTCTGGAATGAAATACCTACGGGAAACTAATATTGTTCATCGGGACCTGAAGCCAGGAAATATAATGAGAGTTATCGCAGAGGATAACACATCTATTTATAAGTTGGCAGATTTTGGCGCAGCTAGAGAACTTCAAGAAGGAGGAGAGTTCATGTCTCTCTATGGGACAGAAGAATATTTGGTATGAGTAATCTGTCATTCCTTAAATTGTGTAGAAAGTTGTAAATAATGAATACGCAATCTTTTCCATTGCACGAATACAAAACATACCTAAAATAGAATGTCATTTGATACAATATGAATGAAAGGCAGGTCTACCATTCCTGAGAATGAAGTAGTCCATTTTATTTCAACCAATGAAACATGGTCTTAGGTAGAGGCAATAGGACAAGCATTTGGAACAAAAAGAAAGTGTGATGCAAATCAAAATCTGCTATTGTTTCGCCATGTAATGCAATGAATAAATACCCAAGTCATGTGATACAAATCCACCAATTAAATGACAAGGATATATTTAGGTGGGTTACATTAATGTTTAGCCCTTATTACAGTAGTAATAGTGAGTTGATTATAAATATACCTTATATAGCTGTATACTTACAACAAAAATTACATATATTCTGAGTTGTTTTTGAATGACATTGACTTTAAACAAGTTCTGTTCCTTAGTATGACAGTTGGTCAAGATTCACATTTTTGAACTATTGGTAATAAAACACACTTCCTTGACATTTTCATAAGTATACCATAAAATCTCATATAGTGGCTCTAGCCTTTTTTTTTTTTTTTTTTTTTTTTTTTTGACCCTTATAGGCTTTTATTTAAATGGGCTCATTTTCGAGATGGGCTTCTTTTCAAGAATAATTTAGCAAACTAAAGAGGGAGCTTATTTTCAAATTAATGCTGTAAATATTTGGAGTAGCTACTACTATATACAACATTTTTCAATTAGGTAATTCAAGCCCATGGGCTTCTTTTAAAGATTACTTTTGCAAACTATAGAGGGGGGGCTTCTTTTCGAGATGGTCCCCTTTTTGAGATTAAGCCCATTAGGCTTCTATTTTTACAATACGATACAATACAATACTTTTATTCCCATCAAAATTCAATAAAAGAATACAATTAAAATACATCATGATAATAAATAAGATAAGGATGAAAGAGATGCAACGAAAAGTAAACAGCCTGTAAAATGTTGTATGACCTTTACATAAAAATAGTTAAGCAGATTTAGAACACGAACAAAGACAAACTCACACCCACCCACGGTGGAAACATAGAAGCATACCTTATGGTGGCCGAAAAAATAGAGAAACAATGTAAGTAAACATGAATTTGAATTATCGTTGTCTACCTCTGATGAGAGTTTGGAGATACAAGGAGGTTTTATGGTAGTTAAGGTAATTACTAATTGTAATTTACAATTGTAATTGCAATTTGATAATTAAATTATCAGAGTAAGTTAAAATGCTTTACTCATTCATTGTTCTTTTTTTTTCTGCAGCATCCAGACTTGTACCAGAGGGCAGTACTGAAAGTGGCAAATCGAGGCAGGTATTCTGCTAAGATTGATTTGTGGTCAGTTGGAGTGACCTTCTACCATGTTGCAACTGGACAATTACCATTCAGGCCTTATGGTGGCCGAAAAAATAGAGAAACAATGTAAGTAAACATGAATTTGAATCATCGTTTGTCTACCTCTGATGAGAGTTAATAGATATGAAGAAATTACGACCAAACATTTGGCATTTCACATTTTTTTCATGGTATTGGTACAGTATGTCAATGGTTGCACAGCATAATCACTATAATGGGATTAATGATTCTTGATACTGTGATGTTATCACTGGAAAGAATTATGGAAATGCATGATGTGATGGGATATCCTAATGACTTCCATCATTTTAATAAAATATTTGCTTTTTGGATTTGGATAAAGTAAATATTTGGAATGATACAGTACATTAACATTGATGTAAACATGTTTGACAGTTTGTAGTTTTTTGGAAAGTTACATAAAAATGTTACTTCTGTTCTAAAGTAAATAGTTAGGAAGTTACAACATTTAATTTCCATATTGAAATAAACGCAATGTTGGAATAAAGGCAATAATTGGAGAGTGGCATTTCTAGATTTGAAAGAAATTTATTGAAATTTAAAAATCCCACATTTTTAGAGTATATGGTACATTTCAAAAGTCTGATTTCTAGATTGTGACAATATATTTGGAAAGTTACAAGACAATTTTTCAGACGAACAAAGTATGTCTTGTTTTCAGATTATGAGGGAGTAACAGTTACAAAAGACATGTTTCCAGATTGTGACAGATTACTTTTGGATATTTGGGAATTTTCCAGATTGGGAAAAAATTACATTTCTAGATTGTGACAGACTTCTGTTGGATATTTGTGAAATTTAATACAAAATTCATATTTTCTCATTGTGAAAGAGTAAATATTTGGAAAGTAACTGTTTCCATAATAGTAATTTTGTACCATAGAAAAGACAACATAAATATCCTAGTTGTGTGATGGTTATATGGCTAATATAGTGGTACAGTAAGCTATTGCTGCTGTTGTACATATTATGAAGTCATATTACTTGCCCTTGGAAAATCCAAGAAATACAGTAATTATTTTTGTCGCACTTTGAACAGACATGCTCATGAGTACCATTTGAATGTGAATTTCTAATGTGATGTTTGGTTATGCTGGATATTTATATTGCTTCCATTATCTTGGAAAATGTAATTTTTTCAGAAATATATTAATGTTTCATACATCAGTTGAAAAATCTAGGTTAAACTTTTGGAGAGACTCAGCCATATGACTGCTTGGTAGGTAGTTGCTCAGTAGGGAAACTGTGTTATGTACTATAACTAAGTAAAATTGAGGATACTTTGTATTTGCATCTTAAATTATTATGTGGTATATTGATGTGAAGGAATTTGAGATTATTTAAAACCATAGAGGAAATATATTTTCCTCCATGATTACCACAGACATTTACTATAGGTAGATACGTGCTTGTGATTCACACTTAGCATACTACTCTTCTGCCATTTTGGATTATACAGTGCAAGAAATTTTATATCTGATAAGAAACTTGTCAACAAATTACCAACTATATTTCAATCTGGAAATACTGTCATACATGACTTTCCAAATCTTCAAATCTTGATACTGTATGACAATTTGCTGTGATATAATCAATGTGTATGCCATCTTGAAACATTGTGCATCTAGTGTATTGTTTTGCACATTTTACTCATCCACCAGTAGTTGTTTCATATTTATTTATTATATATACGCCATGTTATACAGAGTAAAAAACACAAACAGGAAATACAAAAGGACAAGTTAGTGGCATGCCCAGAGAGAAAAATGGGCTGAAGCCCGACACCATAGGTGAATTCTCTCTAAACCTCTAACTTGCAAAAGAACAATGAAAAACAAGTATTAAAAGATTTTTTTACATTTTATAAAATAAAAAAAAAATAAAAAAACTACATAAAAATTCATCTATAGAAAATATTGAAAGGATATGAAAGATACAATAAGGCAGAAGGTATTAATAATTCTGCCTCACTACAATCCGCAACTTATCCCTTTGGCAAGAAAACAAGTTTGGCGAGGAGGCAACAACGCTCAAAAACAATTATATTTGATCGTTGCTGTCTCGCCACCAAGATAAAAGAAGAATGCAGCCATACATTTGTTTACTTATGTTTAGCTTGATTGTAGTTTTCAGATTAATATTACTGTTTCACAACTAACAATTTAGTTGGCTGACATTTGAATAATTAAATCAATGGCTATTGGTAATTTGCTGTAGTAGCCTTTGTTTGTATTTAAATACAGACAATGGACAAACATCTGCTAATTGAGAAAATGCCTTGTTGCTATAATTCATATAAATGACATTTCTATCGATACTTATCATATCATATCTAAGAAAAATGCAAAATTCCAGTATTTGTACAATACATATACCAGAAGTGTCATTTAAAGTGACCTTAAGTGAAACTGCACTCAAAACGGATTCCTAAAATCTGAATATTGTGTCTTCATTGAATACTATTTACTATTAGTTTTCTGTCTGTAACACTCATTAGAATACAAGCAATTTATCATTTTATGTAGTTATTGATTTGCCACATGCTAGTATTTGATTATTCTCAGCCATATTGAATTAATGTATATTTTTCATCTACAGTACACACTCTCTATTCATGTTATATTTTAGAACAAACACTATATTCACCTAAGATAATGTTACAGTGGCCTACTTCGGAGTCTTGAAATGGGGATAGCTGATGGGGCACAAAGTGAGGTGGTGGCTCAACGACTAAGTAAGGGGTGCTAGACTGCAAAATACAGTGATATGAGCTGATTTTTATCTACTTGAGTGCAAATTTTTTGCTTCAAACATTTTCAATGGTGGGGCGACTGTGAGGCGCAAGTTGCTGGTGCATGTGCCTCATGCTTTCCCTAAGTATGCCGCTGGTTACATATTATAGTAATTTATGGAAGTACAGGTCTTCCTCCATTTAAAGACCACTTTTGGGACAAGGTTTCCATGGTCTTTGGCAGCGTTGTCGCTAATTAGAATAATAAAGATGAAAGACAGTTAATATCCATGGTTAGCAGCTTGGTCTCTAATTAGAATAATAAAGATAAAAGACATTAATTAATATGGGACCAAAGAAAATTGGTCTTTAATTGGAGAGAGACCTGTATCATTATTATTAATTTGTATTGTTTGGATTAATATTTTATATTTCACTATAGTGTTTCAGGAACAGTGAATGCCATTGATGTATTGGTTCAAACTTTTTTTTCATAGGAAAGTTCAAACCAAAGGCAAGTTATTGTTTCTGGCAGAAGGGAAATGTAATGGTAACGCACAGTAGTTTACAAATGCACATAGCACCTTCATCTCATACTAGCAAGAATTTTAATTTTATTTGTATTTATTTTTTTCTAATATCCGTAGTTTTCATTGTGTGTTCTAACTGATCTTTCCATCTTATATTAAAATGGCAGTTCTTCAAGTTCATGTGATGATATACAGTGTGAATTGGCAACACTCCATTGTTGTGTTTAATTCCCATTGTAGCAGGAATCATAGTTTTGGATATGATAAAGCTCTGCCCTCACTGTCAAGTTTTATGACAAATAACTATGTTCCCATATGTAGGCATGTTATGACGTTTGAGAAAATGACACACATTTGTCATAGAAATTAATAGTGTGTAAATCAATATAAATAATTTTTAATTTGTTTATAAAATAATAAAGAACTTTAAACAGTTTATATTAGGCTTTTTAATTCTGCACAGTGTTTCTATTGGGCAGTTTATTTTTGCATTTTTTATACATTTATAAAAACAGTATTGTCCTGTATGAGCTCTGATAATGATTTTATATTAAACAGCACCAAAATCCACTAGAGCTTGATACAGTACAAATCCTGCACACTGGAGATTAAAATTTAAATGTTTAATCCCGAAAATGTTTAAAAGTTTTTGAAAAAAAAACTAGGATTTGTAGAGCAAGGTGTGTAATAATGTATTATTAATCAGAAAAGTTTATTACGTTTTTGTTTTGTAAAGAGGTTTAGTTCTTACACTCTTGTCTTCTAATGTGCAGTACAATCAAAGGAATGTGTTGCAGATAGAAAAACCATAATAGATTTTTTTCTAAAAATTGTGAAATTTTTCAGTAAGAACTGCAACAAGCCTCTTCTAGTCGGCTTTGTGCTGTAAGAGTTCCTTTTTAAAAATAGTGTAATAAATAAATAATAAATAAATATACCTATTTCCTGGTGGTAAAAGTTTGTAATTGATCACGTTTAGCTGGTTCCCGGTAGTGTTTAGTATATGTCCGCTCTGCTGCTGTGTTGAAAAAATTGTCTTGGAAAACAACAATTGCCAACTAGGGTGGTTTTCCTCTGTTGGCAAAGGATCTTTACTTTACGAATGTTGCTGTGGACTTCCAAACAGCATATTATGCATAGTGACATGACAAAATTAGTTGTCCTGCAACCCAGGAAAATCAAATATATTAAAGAAAATATGTATGACATGATGATTTGACAAATGTTTCTTGGTTGATACCTTAGATATGTTTTGAGGCACTCTTCAGATTTGATTAGAAAACATTTCAAATTGTTAATGCTCTACTTTTTCTCCCACTAGGAACAAAATAATACTTGAACTGTGATTAAATGTACACCACATCTTTATAGTTTAGTAGTAAGAGACTTACATTGTGACAGCTTGTCACATTATTCATTGCTCTCAACTAAAATTAATATTCAAATGTTCCTCAGTACGATTTCTAATGCCTGAAAGTAAAATGACAACGGACTCATGTGACAGACACTTAAATCGAAAATAGTTTAATGGATATGTACTAATGCATGCTCTAATCTGAAAATAATTGTGATACAAAATTTGAATACGCGGATGTATTTATTTACCAATCCAGTTTCAATCTTGCTTAATGATTATTATTAAATTAGAAGCAATCCAATGAGAAACCCAATTTTATGTCTAGAGGGTTCATTTTAATTGTTTTGAGGCTTTATAATAATTAATACAAACTATGCCTCTCTCGCACAGTATCTATTTTGTTTAATGCTAATATGTAATGGATATATCCTATAAAAATAATAATAGTATTTTTTGCATATTCTGTATAGTGATTTCCATGTTTAAACATCTCAAAGTGCTTCAAATCGTTGCCTTATTTCTTTATCTAATAGTGTACATATTTTTTCAGGCCTTTGAACAGAGGTAGTGTAACTTCAGTTAGTGGAATTATTTGATATGGATTCATCTGTTTTTAGGTAATCAACATCTGCAGAAGATATTTAGGTCTAGTTTTGGATATCTTCCATTTCAAAGTAAGAACAATTTTCAAGACCTGGAGATTGGTTCAGTCACAAGTAACAAATCAAGTGACTTTCTTTTGTGTTGTTTATCCTATGCCTGATTCACATGACAAAATATGTCATGTGAATATCCACAAAAATATCCCTTCTGATGTTTCCCTACCGAGATTCATTGCTTTCACCATTAGCGTATCTAGGAGTCTTGAAATGAGGGGAGGGCTAATGGGGGGAACAAAGTTGAAATGGGAGGGTGCTCGATGATTAGGTGAGCTGGTGCTACTTGAACGCAACTAAGGGTGCGACTATTTTCTCACACAGCCAATTACAAAACCATTGTAAAATGTGGGTACAATTTATATGTAGAGTGAAGACATATTGAAAGAAAGATAAGCTGGTCCCCATTACTATGCACAATATAATTGCTAAACAACTTTACAGGCCTTTTTGAGGTATGCCTTTTTACTGAGGTATCCTTTGTATTTTTAAAGGATGGAAAATATCCTTGTTACAATTTGTTCATATTTAGTACTTTTCAATCATGTGAACCTGGTACTGTATTAGATACTTGGAGGTGAGTAAACCTTATCCATTAGCTTGTGATTTCACTTCACATATTATTTTTCTTTTAGGATTTTTCTGACTACAAAGAAACCGAATGGCGTGATCAGCGGTGTCCAACATGAATCACCAAATGGAAAGATTGATTGGTCCAGCCAACTCCCGGAAACATGTCATTTACCAAGGTCAGTTGTCAAACTGTGTTGCATGTGTTTATAAGAATACATCTTTCAAATGAAGTTCTCATGAGCTTTCAAATCAAGACACAAGGTGTTGACAAAAAATTGGGAATGGATAATGAGATACAGATACAGATTTTTTTATATTAACTGGGGGAAAAGGGGCATAACAAACTTTTAAAAAAATTACAGTATATGAAATAGAAAATTAGTCATTACCCAAAACTATTATTCAAGCTCCTATTTTCACTGGAGGCTGAGATTGATTCTAGTCAAGCCAAAGCTACTGAAGCGGAATTAGTAAGCACATACAGCTACTAGCCAAGCCAAAGCTAATTCATTGGAAATGACAATTTTGGTTTGATAATGGAGCCAATACATTATACGCTAATTGTACTGTACATGATTGCATGCAGTTGTTACTATTGGCAACGAATTCTATTGTTATAGCATAAAACAAATTAACATAGTATTGAAATTCACAATGACTGTATATTGCATTAATTTTTAGTTATACAGTATATCAATATTGTACTGGAACTATAATAATACATACTCCCAAGTATTGAAATGCACACCATCGTGTTGAGATTCAGTATATCAACATATGTAATCATCAGGAATGATTGTACTGTGTATTTAAATACCAAGCTAGTGTATGCTTCCATGAATGTGTATCTGCTATGATTTTTTTTATGATATTAATGAGTACTCTCCTAGGAAAAAGTACTATAAATATCTTGAAAGGAAACCTTAGTATCAAAAAACTATTTTTAATGATTTTAGTATAGTGTGCCAATAGTTGTTATAAATGGCAATGTTAACCTTCATAATATTTAAAAACAGATTGTTTTTTTCTGATTTTAGTGTGATAGATAAATATTAGTCTAAATTGATACATTTATCAAAAGATAGTAATATTGTTTATATATTATTGAGATAAATAGTGCTAAGTAGGCATAATTTGAATGTTATTTTTGTATGATTTTTATTGTTATAGAGGGCACTATATTTTAACAATTATCTCTGGCAATTATTACAAGGTTAACTCATATATTTTACAGAGACAAATTATTTTTGTATTATTTTAGTGTGAAAGGTGGTACTATGTTACATATTACCTTACATTGCCCTAAATCAAAAGTTAACTTAGTATTGAAAGACATTTTTTTGTATGATTTAAGTGAGATAGAGGGCGCTATAAATAGATTCAGGATGTTTCTGTCAGGTAGGCAATGGGTTTGGGAAGCCGTAAAGATAAGCATAATATTTTTTTTCTGCTTCTCCCAGACGCTCAACTGGCTTAATATTTAAGATTAACTGTCATAGTATTGAAGGACAGGTTCATTTTCTGTGATTTTAGTGCAATAGAGGGCACTATTATATTAACCAAAATAAAAGGTTCATTCACAGCATTGAAAATCAAAGTACTTGTAACCTAAATGGACATATATTTCTTGTTTTACACCACGACTCATTGAAGCTTCTTTTTATTTAGACCTCTTAAGAGGCAAGTCCGACTGTTGCTTGCTGGGTTGTTGGAATGTGAACTGGATAAAATGTTGTCGTTCAATGATTACTTCCACATGGTCCAGGAAATTCTTAATCTTCAGAAGGTACATGTGTTCAATGCGGTCACTGCGCAAACAGTCAACATCTACATTCATCCAGGGAGTGGATGGGACAAGTTTACGAAAAGTGTTGAGGAGGAGACGCACATTTCAACAGAACAGCAACTTTTGTGTTTCAAAGATCAGATCCTAGATGTGAATACTATCTCTATGGATAACAGGAACTATCCAGAGACCACGGCTCAGAATCCAATTATCTTGCTTAGAAAGGACCTGAAGAAGTTTCCATCACCCATTCCACCTGATAAACGTAAGTTTATTTGCTTATTCTAATTTTGTTTCCAATTTTTCATTTATGATTAATGTTACTACCATTAAGAATTTGTATGAGATTTAATATTTAGTTTTGTTTTTGTCATTTTTTTAGAACAATTCTGTTGCTGATTTATGGTTGTTTAACAAGAATGATTATTTATTGTTTGCAGCTCAGCAGGTCACAGCATATTTTTTTTTATTGCAACATGAATCATAACAGTAAAGCTTTGCATCAGAAGATTGAGTGTCAAAAGTCACTTATTTTACTTATTTTATGGAAGTTGTTTTTTTCTACATTTTCTCTTCACCCAGGGGATGTGGGTTGTAGAATTGAATTGAGTTGATTATTTTTTTCAAGGTCAGCTTCAAGTTGAAAACTGAGCCTCACTTCTCATCTTCACCACTCAATATTTTAAATTTCAATATACTGTACCTGAAGTCTGAGAATTCCATTTCTGGCTATCTAGACATGTCACAGCCATAGTAAATGTGTGTTCCTCAGCTACATCCTTGGTGGGACTGAGTTGTCTCTCCATTTGCAGAAGTCTCTCTGTGAACCCACTCTGTGTTCTGTAAAGGTTTGATGCGATTACTTAGTTGATAGAGGCCTTGGTTTAATCCGTTATGAAAACAAACATCATTTTAATTTTCTTTGTGTGTAGTGTTCTCAATTCCACTTTTCAAATACAAATGTTTTCATAGTATATTATACATCAATGCTTTATTTAATTTCCTTTTGTTGACAGTTTTACACCGTTGAGCTCTTAAACCAAATAAGATTTGATAACAAATATTCAGGAGAAAATGTAAGATATTATTAAATGTTAAGGAAATTTACATACAAAAAATTAGGTAATCAACAAAGCTGGGTTGTCAACATATTATCAGGTATAAAATATCCTGTGAAAAATTAATTGCTCGTAAATTTTGCTTTAGAATTGTTAAGATACATTATTTATTCATTTATCTTTTTCAGCCAAACTTCCCAAGATCGCGACACCATACAGCCTTGAAAATGATGCTCCTCTTGCAAAGGTGAAAAGCCTCAGAATTTCTTAGAGGGTCTCTTTTTAAATAATTTAAGATTGATGGATTTAGAAACAATTGGATTGGCTGGTAGAGCACAGAAAATGGTTTGTAATTGGAACTTTAAAGCTGTAAGTGATGTGGTATTATTGTTTTGGAATTAGGAATTCAGTGGTTAAGTCCAAGTATTTTTAGTTCTGCTAAATTAACATGGACCTTGGCATCAGCAGTTTATAAAGCACTCTCCCATCTCCTCTCTCCTTCTCCTCCTCGCCTTCTATTCCAGCCTAGTAAATTAGATGTGTTATACAGTACAGTACCAACATTCCCAAATAATCATCTAATTTTATTTTCCATTCCTTATATAATTGGACATTAATTTCCATAATTTCTAAATATTGTATTGAATTTTATGAAGTTATTGAGCATAGTAAAGGATTTTTGTATGCAGAAACAGGTTGCAGATTTTATAAGATTGTGTTGCAAAGGGGTAGTTATGTGTATTTAAAGAGTTTTAAGAGCCTTGAAGTCATGGAAAAGATTTTAGTTTATAAGTGTTGCACTTAAAATTGTTTGTTAGTTTCTGTATGCTCAGATGGTTTGATGAGAATAGAATTATGACACCCTATATTAGACGGATATTTTTATTATTGTTTTTACATATTCTTCTTTTAGTAATTTGTTAGTAGTAAAAATTAATTCATCATGTCCATTGTAATATATTCACCATCATCATCACCAATAGTAACATCATCGATATCATCACTAACATCATCACAAATTTCAGTATCATTATCATCATCATTATCATCATCATCATCATCAGCATCATCATATACTGATATAGAGCATTGTTTGTGTAAACATCTTTTTATTCATTAGTATCACCTGTCACCTCATAATCATTGTCATCATCACCACCACCACCATCTTTATCATAATTACGACATAGTTACCAACTTTAGAGATTTAAAATGCGTGACTACTCCAGTTGACTTGGTGGGGGTGGTAGGGGCATGGAGGTGAACTGAGGGGGCTTAATGATCAGTTAAGTGTGTGCTAACTCCCAGAATAAGGTGATTTTATGTGCTTTTCAACAACTTGACCATGATCTCTTTTGGGAGGGGATGTGTGAGGAATCGAGTAACCCCCAAATATATGCCACTGTCTAGGGCCCCAGCCTCACCGACGATCTGAGCATATTTACAGTAAGCTGTTATAAAAAAAATATTTTTTATAAAGCCATTACATTTAATTTGAGCACCCAAATTATACACAAATAAAAAATGAGTAGGCATGCTGATAAATTTTTAGTAACACGTCAGTGAATTAAGTGTTCATGTAAATATCTGTCTAATGACGCAAGTTACTGCATGACAGTTTTATATTTTTAATAAAACCAATTTCTTATAATTTTAAATACATTTTCCCCTGAATTCGTAATAATTTTTGTCATGCATAGAACTGTGCTAAATGTGTGATAAATTAATAATATCTTTATGTTTCAACCAAAATCAGTTTTAAAATGCGTGGCTGTCCCGCACGATGCGAGACGGGTGGTAACAATGTTACGAACACCACTATCATTATCATGATATTATGAGTGAAGAAGTTCACTGCATGAACAAAAGCTTATTCTCGGTTAACTACATTTTCTTAGTCTTAAAGTGCTGCCTGTATTTTTTACTACAGTTTTATACACTTTCTGTGCATAAATATCATATTGTTGAACAATCTGGCATATTCATCAGGAATATCTTAGTTATTGTGCATCTTATGTCTTATTAAGAATCTGCTGGAAAATATCCATCTCCTACAAACTTTGTAAAACTTCCATGTTTTTTTACTTTATTTATAAATTACCTTATAGAAGCTGGTGTCGATGGGTAATGGTTGAAAGAGCTATGTAACCAGGTTTCCCGGCAGAGACCCCTGCATGGCCAGCGAGCCAAATTATATGTTTTACTTGGAATCATTAAGCTCTGTCTACTCCACCGTTCCGCAACCTATGGTTCGCAACCCAGTTTTGGGAGAAATTTGGCTTCTGGTTTGATGGGTCGCGTCTGAGTGTATGACATATAATTTGGGTTGTGGGCTGAAAAGGTTGTGGAACAGGGGTCTACACTATCAATTTTTCTTTGACAAATAAACTGTATACCCATATATAGTCATGATGTGCCTGTATATGGTCATGATGTGATGTCATCATTACCATATTTAGGCATGCCACATGTTTCTGTCAAATAAAATTTGATAGTCTGGACAGGGCTTTATATCAAATATGTAAATTGCTTTTTTGCAGATTTGTTGCGGTTCAATGTACTATTACTTGACAATTGTGCAGAGCCTCCTTTTGATGCAAGAACAGATGCGATTAGCTGTAAACTGCTTCTGGTAAGTACCGAGTATGAAAGACAGCAGAACGTTTAACTTTTATTTCATATATTTGTCTCAATATAAAAAATATCAAAACTACTATTTATGCCATGAATGTCAGCTTTTTTCTTCTGATTTTGTGCTTATTGCTGCGAGTCAGCGAGCAGCGACACTAATTTCGACGTACGCCAGTAAAAATTTCGATTTTTACCAGGACTCAAGATGAATTTTCCGGAGAGCGTCTGATCGTTTTCGGTTTTCAACTTGAAAGCGCGATAAAATTTTGGTGCTTTTAGGAGCCTTTTCGAGATTCTAAGGACCTGGCGGTGTGGCTTTCAATCCAGTTTAGAGCTTGACGGTGTCCGATGTGTTCGTTTAGAGTTAGAATTGAATCGGTAACTATTCCATTTTCAAACATTGATTATGTCAAGTCTTCGAAGTGTTAAGGTCATGATAATTTTAGTGATGTTTAGATCAGTGTGATTGTGTCCTGTTTGTGAGATTTTTTAGTGCAGCTATAGTTGTGCTTTTTTATAATTTAATTAGGCCTAGGCCGAATGTTGCTAGGCCTAGTCTTTCAATTTGAGTCTAGGAGGTCTAACCTAATATTAGGTATTCCATTAGCTTCTCTACCTAGGGTAGATCTAGGCTTAGGTTAAGTTAGGGCCAATGAACAGCGTTATTTTTCTATTTGATATTAAATAATTAGAAATTGCCAGATTATTTTGATGTCTGTATGTGGCAACAGGCTCATTATAGATGCCTGTAATTTTGTGACGATAAATATTTTTATAGGTAGGTGTATATTTTGATTTTGTTAATGTTATTTTGTTAATTTACACAATCATGTACAGGTACATAGACGCCATATTGTAATTTTGTAGCGATAAATTTGTTTTCCATGATTATACTTAGGAGGTACAGTAGGAATATATTTTGATCTCCAAATATCTTACTATAAAATCAACATCTAATAAAATATCGAATAAAATAATAGTAATCGATAATTATGTTGAATATATATGTTAGTAAAACAGCTTTTATGTGTGAATTTGGTAGCAAATATTGCTCTTCAATCTTATATGTTAATTTACACAATCATGTACTTTCGTTTGCAGATTGTTGTCTGCTTTATGTTTGGCTGGTCTGGTATGTAGAGGTCTTCCAGTTTCTCCCACATATACGGCATCGCAAAGGAAAAATAACAACATGAATGGAGATAAGGAACCTACAAGCTATTACATATATATCTCGGTATCTTTTATTCATAAATTCAAACAAAACAACTACAATATCAAATCCTTACCAGCCAGAGGCTGAATTGGGGATTCAATTTACAAAATAGAAAACCTGAATTATATTTACAATAAGTCATTATCATTATTAAGATCAATTAAAATAGTCAATATTATTATTATTTTAATTAGTTACAATTATTATTTAAAAATTTCTATATTAATTAATATGCACAAACATTAAAATTTCCAATTTAAAAATAGTAAAAAAATTCAAAAACAAACTAATGAAATTTAAACTAATATCAAACCAACCGAGGGCACAGACGCCCGCATACCACTGGCACTGTTGCACCCAAAACACCACCCGGGCAGGATCCGCCCCCAGAGCTCAAGTCAACACTCTCGCAGAAAGGACACCTAGGAATGGATTAATTTATTTGATTAAGAAGTTTGGTGAGAAAAGTTATAGGGCTATTTCTAAACCTTTCTGTTCTAGGAATAACAGTTTCAAATTTTCTGGGATTACGGAGATGCATTGATGGGGTATTATTGGAGGTTTGGAACCAATGACGAAACCTTTGATTAATAACTGATTTCTGGGCAAACCTTCTGCGGATAGAGGACCTGCGGTCAGGGAGCGACTCCAGCCCGAGCGCTGCTAGGACACTTTCGTATGAAACATACTCAAGTGCCAGAATAATGCAACATGCGCGCTTTTGGACCCTCTCAAGGCGATGGATGTGTTCTCCAGATAATCCAGTTCCAAACTGGTGTGGCATATTCGAGGGTTGGGCGAAAAACATTTTTTTGTTAGAATTTCTTTCAATTTGATCGATATGACTATCCCATTTAAGATCGTCTTGAATTACCACCCCGAGGAGTTTTACTCTGTTAACAATTGGGAGTATGGTATGCGAGATGTGAAAATCTATGTCTGGTAATCTCCTACAAACAAAATACACCTGCATGATCTGACACTTGGAGGGATTAAGATATAATTTATTTCTCACTGACCATGCTGTAAAAGTTCCAGGCAAGATTGAATGGAACTCGGAGAGCCAATTTTATTATTTTCTCCAAGTGTCAGATCATCAACATATTTCCAGACATGGATGTTCAGATCCTGCATTATATGGATTTAGGTTAAAAGCGGAATTGATAACACAAAGAAAGATAAGAGGGGCAAGTATAGTTCCCTGTGGAACACCACATGAGAGATCAATTACATCAAAAGCTTTGGTAAAATCAGTCAAAGCAAGTGTACTGACATTACCAGGTTTTTCTGCTTCCGATATTAGTTTATGGTACACATCTATCAAGCAGTGGGTGGTCGACACACCTTTTTGATTCCCATATTGCTGTGAATCAATAAATGGTTCAATTGCCTTAATTATTGATTTTGAAACTCTCTTTTCCACAATTTTGCGAGTGTTGGGGTGAGAGAGATAGGTCTCAGTTTTTCAATTGAGGGGGGGGGGATGACATTTGCCTCCTTCCACTGAGTTGGAACAACTCCTTGTTCAAGGGATGCACTGATGATATGAGACACAGGAAGGCTAAGTTCAAATGCACATTCCTTGATGACCTTCTGTGGACTATTGTCTGGACCCCCTGCCTTTGAAACAGATACCCTCTTCAAATCGTCATAGATCTCCCAGGGGTGAAATTGGGGAGGAGGCACATGGCTTGGCAAGTTAGCAGGAGGAAAGTTAGTATCGATTGCTTGATGTTTTTGAAAATGCTTAGCGAGAAATTTATTTATGCAATTTGCACTCATCGCAAAAATCAATTTTTAGTTATTAATACAATGGTAAAAAGTAAAATGAGAGCTATAAAATAGTAAAAGAATCATTGAAATCTGATGCTTCGTTATGAAGTTACAAGCGTTTAAACATACAGCTGTTTAAAGAACAATATCTGAGAAATCGGCCTTCAAAGTTTATTATTTCAGGCATTTCTCAGGCAGAAACCATCACCAAATTGTTAAAAATTGTTGTTTTAACATTGAAAATGGGGAAAATAACAGCATATCATGATGTGTAGATATATAAAGTTTAAGGCCTTAATGTTATCCTTAACATAGATTATGACACCTCCGCCTCGTTTGTGCTGTCTACACATTTTGAATGAGTTAAAAGAGTTAACAGTATACAATTCAGGTGCCGTTTGTTGGTTTATCCACGATTATAACAGCTTTGTCGATATTGTAATTATTAAAAAGCAAATCCAGTTCATTAAATTTGTTCAGAATTGACCATGCGTTAATGGCAACAATTTTAGGAAGAAAAGCTGGATTTCGTTTCCTATTATGTATGTGAGATTTGGTTATTTTTACTTCAACAAGTGTTGATTGCCTGTTAGTAAAATTGTGCCTCGGCGTCTTTCGTGTTGTAATCCTAACAGGTATTGACCTTCCTTTATTTTTGCCTGTACGACAACCTCTAGGTTTGGTACAAGCGATATTTAATTCATTAGCAATTAAGAAAACTCTTTACCTGGTTTCGGATAACAGCTCCTTTTATTCACAAATGGTACCTGTCTCGAAAAGCACATTATTTCACTGGTCACTGCAGCACGGGAGCACTGTCGAATTAAGACGTCATCATATTTATAATGACCTTCTACACCAACCCAGGGAACAGAGGGTGCACGTCATCGGATGACATCGGCCGATGACAAAATTATCTCAGATTAGGTCATTTACCTAATGAAGATGCTACTTCGAAACCGGTTTAAATACTGTAGTATTTAAACAAGTTTAAATATTAAAAAGCATATTGTGGATAAAGCATTTATTTAAAAATGAAAAGCATATTGTGGCTAAAACATTTTATTTAAAGATTTATTAAAATACTGAGAAGCATGATATGCATAAACCATTTTTTTAAAACATTTCTGTGAGGCATGTTCTTCATTTAGCCACTTTTTTTAAACAGTTTTAAATATTGAGAAAATATTAAAAAGTTTTAAGTATTTTTTTTTTTGTTAAAACAGATTTAAATACTGTGAAGGCTATTGTGGATAACACTTTTTGTTTACATATTTAAATACTCTGAAGCCTATTGTGTTGAACAATAAAACAAGATCGACTACTATCTATTAGTATATTATTGTGTTGTTTTGAAGCATTGTAAACAACATTTTTGGAACCCATTCACCAAATCATACATTTCTACCAACCTTTAATACTAAAACTGAAAATCAGTACACTATTTTATGAACTGATTTATCTATTAGTATTTACATGAATTGTATACTCGCAGCATTTTACTTTATATTAGAAACTGCTAGTAATATAATATTAATTATTTAATATTTAAAGATGTACTATCAGTCAAAAGGACAGAAATACCAAAAAAATTCAAATACAATTTTGAATAGCTCATTTGAATTGAAAGGATCAAATAAATTATTATAATTCCAACGAGAAACAAATAAAAAAATGTAGTTTTCACCAATAGACCTTTTATTACAAAAATCCTTAAATTGATTACCATCCAATTGAAGGATATGCAACCGAATACAGCAAAGTTATTATTTATTAAC